CAGAGTCACACACACACACACCCCACCTATGGCCATTACAACTGCCCGCTACCTCCCCATGTTACAGAGTCACACACACACACACCCCTCCTATGGCCATTACAGCTGCCCCCCACCTCCCCATGTTAGTCACACACACACCCCCGCCCCAATGTTACAGCCCTGTACCCAAATCATTTACAGCACGAAGAGAAAGGGTCAAAACACTTGTCTTCCGACACCACCACCCCCACCTCCCCGGCTGCGGCTCCATTACCCACCACTGCTGTCCTACCTTGTGAGGAGCTTGAAGCAGTCGGTGCAGCCCCGGGATCTGATTGATGAGCGAGATGTCCTCTCGGAAAGTGTAGAGCGGGGGTCGGGTGGGCTCCGGGAAGTTGGTGCTGTTGAACGGATCGGTGTCGTCGAGGAACTGGACCCTGCAGACCAAGGTAGCCATGGCCTATCCATAAACAGAAAAAAAAAGAGGGAAAGGGAGAGACTGTTACCCAGACTGTTAAAAAAAAAAGTCTTGAGTGCAATCCAGGACGATGCCCCCAGCTTCTGGGAAGCTGCGGATGTCTCCAGCGCCCGCCTCAGCTGCAGTCACTCAGCTAGTCCCAGGTCTAACAGAGAGAGAGAGAGAGAGAGACACACACAGACAGAGAGAGAAATGAAGAGCTCCCCCTCCATCCAGCCATCAATCCTCTTCTCTGCAGGAGAGCACTGAGCAGCCGGCTTTGACACTGCCTGTGCCCAGCGCCCTCCAGCTGTCAAACCAGAGACTCTCGCAAGCCTCAACCACATTTTAACACCGTCTGGATGATCACCACGCCACATTGCGCTGGTACTTTTGCTGTAAAAGAAAGCAGCTTTTTAAAAATTTGTCCACATTCCCCTTCATTTGGTCCTCAGTGCCTTCGATCTTCAATATAGGGATCGGTTTTACACTAGATTTGCGTCTAAGATCGGGAGGGGGAAAAGGAATTCAAATAGAACGATTTAATCCAATCGGAATTATTTGTCTCGCCTCTGCAAGATCAGTCGTTTGGTTCGATACAATTCGATAATATACCCTCAAGAATTAAATTGGAGACATTTCGAAAATCTACTCACAGCAGGTTGGGATGACTAAACAGAGAAAACAGGTGGAGAATTGCACTTCGCCATCAAGTTATAAGCACTTCTTTAAGAAAAAGAGAACATTACCTTTCATTTGGGCATTTCAAATCGTTTCAGATGTAAATTTGGAAAACGATGAAGATTATGAGGTGCAGCAAAATTTCCCTGCTGGAGATTGACTCGAGTTGTACACAAACAACTGTCTGCGAGGGTAAGGGTTTTTTTTTGGGTCAAGTCTTTGCCCTGCCACTGTCAATCGTTGCAAGGGGTCCCTGGTAAAGCAACTGCTGGAGGAAGAGCGGGGAAAGTACTGTGACTTCCTCAACAACTAGCTATTTAGAAAGGTATGCCATTGCCCACTTAGCAATTACACCAGCAAAAAAGTGACTAATTACCGCACTGTGTCTGCACCATCTAGCGGCAGAGTGAAAGCACATACTCTGAAATGGAGATGAAACACGCTTCTCTCTTGCCCTCCCCTCCGTCCCACTTAAAAGTTTTACGGCGGCATTCACAAAAGTAGTTACAGGAGGCCAGTTCAGGTCTCACCTGCTCAGAGGGGTGTAACATAATCAGATTTAAAAATTTCAAATAGCAGTACACTTTAAAAACAAGAAAAGTGTTGGCTGCTCTGCTCCCCGATTTAGTTTCATCCCAACTCTTCCCCCAAAACACCCACATCCTCGTATACCAGTGTGGAGCGGACCCTTCTTCAGACCCTTCTTTCTGAAGGAGGGTCCCGACCCGAAACGGCAACTTTCCTGCTCCTCTGATGCTACCTGCCCTGCTGTGTTCATCCAGCTCCATACTTATCTGACTCCAGCATCGGCAGTCCTTACTATCTCTGACCCACATTCTCTTACTCTCCTTAAAGTGATACCCAAGAAGCTTACTGCTTTCAGCTCCCTCAGCTCATGCTTCTCATATTCAAATTCATTTCATCACCCTGACCCCATCCACACTACAATTTTACAACATGATCTGACTATTTGGGTGGAACTGGCCCATGCTAGTCATGTTCCTGGTGACAACTTCAGCTAACTCAAAATTTTCAGTTCTTTTGTGTATAGTCGTAAGGAAGACATGGAATTTTGGCATTTGTTACTTCTTATACTCCACTTCATTAGCAACAAAGTGCTGCTGCAACAGTTACAAGGTGTGGCTAAGTCTGCACCCACACAGTTTTAGTCCCCTTGTATGAACTGGACATAGTTGCGTCGGAAGCAGTTCAATGACAAGACATGAGGAAGCTCAGGAACAGGGATTTTGGAATACTTTTCCATTGATCTCTGGTTAATAGAGTATTTAAGGCAACACAGAACATTTGCCTTCATCACTCATGGCACAGATTGTAAAAGCAGGGATGTTAAGGGCCACAGCCTGGAGTACTGTGTGCAGTTCTAGTCACTGTACTATGGATAGGATCAGATTGCTCTTCAGAGTTGTGCAAGTGAGATTCACCAAGATGTTGCCCGAGATGGAGCATTTCAGCTTTGAAGAGAGGGTGGATAAGCTAGTGTTGTCTTCAGAGCAGAGAAGGTGGAGGGGGAGCCACAGCTCACAATGGACCCCATGTGACTTCACTTTTTGGATCAATATGCTATGAGGGACCCGGTCAAAGGCCTTGCTAAAGTCCATGCTAAAGTCCATATAGACAACATACAGACACCACCCTGCCATCAGTCATCTTTGCCACTTCCTCAAAGAAAACTCAGTCATGTTTGAGACATGACTTTCCCCACATAGCCATGCTGCCTATCGCTAATAAATCCACATTTTCCAAATGAGTACCTTCAGTCTCTAACAATTTTCTCCAATAACTCCCCAATCACTGATGCAAGACTCACTGGCCTGTAATTTCCCAGATTATCCCTGTTGCCCTTCTTAAACAAAAGGAAGCACCTTGCCTAATGTCCAGTCATTTGGGACTGCTCCTGTGACTACAGAGGATACAAAGATTTTGCACAAGGCCCCAGTAATTTTCTCACCTGGCTCCCCCAGAATTCTGGGATAGATCCAGTCTTGGAGACTTGTCTAATTTAAATGCTTTTCTAAAAAAAAAAAGTTATGTTGACATGCCCCAGAATATCAGCATAAATTTCAGACTCACCATCCACCATGTCCTTCTCCTAGGTGAATATTGATGCAATGTATTCATTAAGGAACTAATCCACTTCTTCTGGCTCCCCACAAGTTTCCTATGTCCTTGGGTAGACCTGCCCTTTCCTGGGTACCCTTATTCTGCTTATTTTTGTACAAGACACCTTGGGATTTTCCTTAGAGATAGTAGGAACTGCAGATGCTGGAGAATCCGAGACAACAAGGTGCAGGGCTGGATGAACACAGCAGGCCAAGCAGCATCATAGGAGCAGAATTTTGGGATTTTCCTTAACCCCGTTTGCTAAAGACATTTCATGGCCCCTCTTAGTCCTCCTAATTCCTTGAGTTCATTGCTCCATCTTTGTATCAGTCAAGGGGTCTGTCTTTAGTTTCCTAAACCTTCCATGTGCCTCTTTCTTTTTGACTATGCTATCAAATTTCTCGTCATCCAGGACTTCCATCCTTATTCTTAATATTTGCTGGAACATGCTGGTCTTGAACTCTAAATCTACTGGCCTTTAGAAAATATTCCCACAATCTGGATGTGGATTTACCTTTAAACAGCTGCTTTCAATCTACATTCCCCAGTTCCTGCCTAAATATTTTGGTATTCAGCCTTCCATTTCATACTTTCACCTGAGGACTACTCTTATCCTTATCCACAAAGAATTCAAAACAAATAAAAAGAGAAGTATTGTTACTGTTGCTAAAATGCAGCCCCCATGGAAACATTGATCACCTTGCCGGGTTAATCCCCCATATCGGGTCTAGCATGGCCCCTTCCCCGATGGAAGTAACAAAATCTAATTAGTCCAAAAAAAAAAGAAAAACAACCCCACTCCTGACACACCCAAATTTCCACCAATCCAAGCCCTTGGCACTAAACAAGCTCCAATTAAAACAGAGGATTTAAATATCACCCACCACCATCATTTTGACATTTTTCCATAGTCTGTTCAAATCAGTTCATTTATCACCTACTGGCTGTTAGGAGAAATGTAGTACAATGTTAAAGAGATTGCACCCTTCTTATTGCCAAGCTCTACCCATATGGCCTTTCTAGATGTGCACTCTATGGTATTCTCCCTCAGTACAGCTGTGATATTTCTCCCTTAATCAGTAATGCAACTACCCAACTTTTACATCTCCTTTATCACACTTGAAACATTTAAATCCCAGATGTTAAGCTGTCAATCTTGTCCCTCTCTCTGAACTAATAATGCTGTCACTATGACAGAGTCTATGTAATCATAACATCAGAATCACAGAATCCCTACAGTATGGAAACAAACCATTCACCCCAACAAATCCACTCAGACTTTTCAAACAGCATCCTACTCAGGCACCCCCTGCACATAACCCTGCATGTCCCATGGCCAATCTACCTAACCTACACATCCCCAAACACTATGGGCAATTTACCATGGCCAATCCACCTAATCTGCACATCATTGGACTTGTGGGAGGAAACCAGAGCAACTGGAAGAAACCGATGCAGACACAGGAAGAATGTGCAAACTCCAGACAAACAGTCGCCCGAAGCTGGAATTGAACCCGGTCCTGGCAGTGAGAGGCAGCAGTGCTAACCACTAATATATCCAAGCTCCAAGCTCATTTGCCTTACCTGACATAGTCCTCACGTTAAATACACTTCAGATTGCCAGTCCTGCCTTGTCCAGTAGTCTCTGTCTGTTCTTCCTCTTGTCTTACCAGCCTTAGTCTGACTCCTCCTCAGGTCATTTTACTTGCTGACCTACCGCTGTATCTCCCACCCCTGCCACATTAGTTTAAAACTTCCTTGCCAGGATATTGGTGCCCTTCCAGTTTAGGTGCAATCTGTCCTTCTCGTACAGGTCTCACCTGCCCCAGAAGACGTAGTACACAAGTACCCCTGAATCCCTTTGCGTTGCAGCTTTCTGAAAGCAGAAGTCCCCTGGAGTCTTAATAGCTGATCCAATGTGGTGGTGAAGTAGAGAAGAATCAGTTCCTACTCAGGTGACATCACTGCCTGAAGGCAACAGGGCTAATTTGTCCAACAAAATCAAATTAATTAATATATCAGTCAATTAAATTATTGCTTACTAAATCACATCGTTATCCATTTCTCAAGGAGACTGTGCAGCTTGGTGTAATTTTTCTATTAGTTCAAAACAGGAGCTACTCATTTTTCCCCAAAATACTCTAGTATGTTCAGTCCACTTTCTTAAACAAGATATTTGAATTAAGTTACTTCCTTTTTAT